AATCGAACCCAGGGCCTTGAGCATGCAAGGCAAACGCTCTACCACTGAGCCACCTTCCCAGCCCCGGCTGATACTTTTTTTAACAATGTGAAAATCACAAAAGGCAAGGAAAGAAAACAAGGGATTTTCAGATGGAAGATTAAATACACATAATAACTAAGTGTAAAATAGGCATCTGGAAGAAATGTTGGTTGAGAAAGCATGTTTTACTTTCTTTTGCTAAAGAATGATTGGATCTCAGGCAAAATTGGAAAGGCAGATGAAATGGCAGTTTTGTATCAATATGAGTTTCCTAATTTTGATAGTTGTAATGTGGTTCTATAGAATGTCATTGTCTTTAGGTAATTAGACTAAAACATTTCAGGGAATGGAGTATAACATGCGCAAGTTATTCTAAGATGGTTCAGAACTTATTCTCAGATGGCACACACACACACACACACACACACACACACACACAGGCACACAGAGAAAGAAGAATAAAACAAGTATACTTAAATAGTAACAATTAGGGACCCTAAGTGCAGAACACATAGGAGTTCTTTGGGCTATGCTTGCAACTATTTGCAAGGATGAAATTATTTCAGAAAAAAAAACTATTTTAAAGAAAAGTAGTCTTTTTTTGAAAAACAGAAAATAAAATGGAGTGTTTGTAAATTGAGCCTTTTTTCTACTTATTCGTCCCCATCTTGTTCTAAAAATAAGTTATAGAGGCTTCATAAATATGTAAAAATGGCAAGATAAAATAATTTGAGGGTTGAGTGTATGGCTTAAGTGGTAAGAAATATGCAATGACCCTGGCAAAAATCAAACTTCCATACTTGTACCAATTTTCAAGTACAAGTGTATAATTTACTTAATAAGTTTTTGTCTGGAAATATTTTAGCACTGCATCAAAGGGAATATGAAGCTGGTTTGTTTAAATAAAATAAATTAAATATATAAAATAGATAAAAATAAATAAAATAAATAAATCTAAAGGAAGAAAAACACAGGAAGGAGAAGGCTGCAATAATTAGTACAGGAAAGCCTAGGAAGAACTGATTGGTGAACCTATGTATTCCAAGTCCAGGAAGATTGTGAAATTGTACAACAGACTCTAAAAAAATTGGACAGATTATGTGGACAGGCAATAACAATGAGTTCTTTTGTGTGCTTGATACCTTTTTACTCAAAACTTTTTGCATTAGACAAAGAATGGAGGCAGAAAACAATCATCAATAAGAACAATAGAGACTTTCAAAAACACTAATTTTTATGTATGCATATATATTTTATTAAATTTTCACTCTACAGTAGTTACACATAAGGCTGATTATTTCACAAAACTTTCTATTATCCCAAAAGCAGTTATCATAAAACAGTGATTATATAAGTTTCAAGCAAAAACATTACCTATAGGAGCTTCATATCATTTCTTAATACTTATTTTAAATAGAAGTTTGAAGTAACACAATATTAGAATAGGAAGAGGGAAGTTTATAACCACTTTTCAAATATTAGTCTCTATATAAAAATAAAGGGATACTGTGAACAAAGCTTATATGTGGGTTAGTATATCTATGTGGACTTATTTCAAAGCAATCCCTGCACAAACTTCACTTTCTACACCATTTAAACAATACAAACTAAAAAATGACCCTTGGGAAACAATAAAGTGAATCATGCTGCTTCTAAGTTCTCATACCACTGGAACAATTTCAATTTCCTGCCCTAGTTTTCCCTAACAGTGAATTTCGAAAACAAATTTAAAAGTCATCACGTTTCAGAGGTTATTTCTTAGCAGTCCTAAATTAGAACTCAAAAGTATCCCTTTAAGGCAAAAAAGACAGTAGAGTGAAGGTGGACAAATCTCTTGAAAGACAAAAACGCTCTATTATTGTCACAGAGGCAAAAACATCTGAAAATAGTTGTTTTTTTTTTTTTAGAAATAGAATAGATATACTGGATACTGCCAAAGAAGTTTGTGTTTAAAATGGCACATGAGAGGACAAGTTTCGTAATAGATACATATATGTTAGATGTGAAGGATTATGAACTTTGTACCGGGAAAACAACATAAGACGTAATGGCTGTTAGGGTGATGATTACAATATGAATAACACAACTGACTGCAATAGAACTACTGAAAGTTAAGTGCTACTCTCTAATGATTGAAAGAGAAGTTTCCATTCAAGCTGTACACAATCACTAGTCTGTGCATGCCTTCAAAGCGCATCCTCTTCCTTTAAATCTAAGGATCTTTCCTTCAAAAAACACAAATGCAGTGGTTTTCCTTTTCTTACATTCACTTAAAAATGGAATATTATGATCCTAGTGGGTATGGGTGCATATTAAATGTAATCCATCCTGTCTGAACAGTAAATCTATTGCAACAGATGCTTTAGACAGTGTAATAAATAATAAATAGCATAACAACAGATCACTCGCAGATTTCTTAAATACCTTAGTCAGGAGTTTTCTCTGGGAAAATGAAAGAACACGTGGTACCTCATACTTTTAGCATATACACTACAGCTCACACAGCGTCTTAAAAACAGGATGCATAATATTATCTTTTTTGGCTCCTACAAGCTTCCTTGCAGATATTAAGCTACTCTCTATAAGGCAGAAGAATAAGAGCTGCCTCTGGCAGCAACACAATAATCAAAACACAAATTACCACATGACAAAACAAACCCAATGACAAAAAGGAATCAGAAAAAAAGTAGCAAGCAAAATAGTATGTGGCAATCATATACATAAAGCCTCCTTTTCCACACTACCTTATAACAGACATCCCTTAGAGCACAATAATGGACCACAGGCACCTAAACCACCATAACACCACCAGAGACACTGACAGCTCCATGGATGCTCACTTTTGTACACAGTGGTTTGGGGTGTAAATAACATTATTCGTTCATTTGTAGATGCTCCACACATCTGGTCAAGGCAGGAATTTCTTCTCCTTGATAACACCACCTAGAAATACCAACAATATTTTATATATTCCTTACAGCAATAGATTCGGGGAGAGAAATTGCAACTGTAGAAGCAAAGTTCTAAGAACTTTGCAAAGACTAATGCAGGCATCTTGTAAGTCCATTTACATTCTCAACACTAAAGCCAATCTTCAAGCAAAGAAGCAATAATGATAGTAATGGAAACGGTTATGTTTCTTTCCCTCTGTGAGAAATGGCAAGTAAGCAGCCCAAACAGGAAAGGGAAACGAAATAATGTACTTTAAGCTGATGCAGAAAAAACTAAAATTTGATATAATCAAAAGCAGTTTGTGTATTACCATGAAATAAAAGAGACTAGAAAGTATGTAGTCAACAAAGAACAAAAAAAATCTCTCAAGCAAGATAATTTCTGATCAACTCTTTCATATCACTGCTGGAGAAAGAGCTATTATTATTGTCGTTATAGATAATACACATTTGTGCCTCCCTTGAATATTTAGACGAAAAAATAGGTGCTCTTTGAGGCACAAAGTAAAAAAATCCTCTAAGCACATCAAAAGTGAATACTGACATTTAGTCATCAAATACAAAATGAGATCAGCAAAAAGTAGACATTAGTAAAGTCACTACACTTGTAAAATTAAACTTTCCATGAAAGAGATGCCAAAAAAATAATAATTAAGAGCATCGCAATGGCTGACATCTGTCAAACTTCAATCCTCATTATGGATCAAAGTTCTCTGTGTTCCTCACTGTGTTAAGTGGGAAACAGCAGCTAAAACACTGAATCAGAAATCGTTAGGTCACTTGGGTGAGAGATCATCCATCAAGATGGGCGAAGAGCATGGATTGGAGCATGCTACTGAAGACTCTGCGGGAGCGCTGACTGAAGCCAGTGAGTCTGAGGATAAGCCACTGCTGCTACTACTGCCATCCAAAATATCTGAACTGAAGACAAAGTAAAAAGAATTATAAGCAAATGCATCCATTAAGGGTAAACATAACATGCAATGATATGGTTTCAAGGACTCACACATTGGTAGAGCATTTGTAAATAATAATTTAAAAAAGCATAAAAGCAATAGCAATGAACTACATAATGTACTATATTGAAATACCTGGGAAAGAATAGTCTCAGAAACCCGAAGTAAGACTCTCAAAGTCCTGCATTATTTGTGTCCCCCGGGAGACACCAGACTGTCCAACAAACAGTAAGCATTTCTCTTAATATTGCCTTATGCTAACTTTATGCTCAAGAGATTTCTATCTTATTTATCATCTTATTTTCCCATCAGGCTTGGAGTAAGAAGAATGGTTAATTACTGAGGTACCCATTCTCTGGCTAGCTGAAACATGCCATCAAGCATACTGTGTCATAATTCCTCTTCTCCAGAACAAAGTCCTTCAACTGCCCAACAGTTGACTACTTGCTCACTTCCAAGAAGCCTTCAATTCAGAGCTGCTCCTCTATTTACATACATTTTACATTCTTCTCATTTTATGAATTCCTTACACCATTAACTTTCTCACTGCTTTCAAATCCCAAAGATCTCTCTACTATCTTTAAAAGACTTCTTTTCTTAGACCCCTTCCATTTACGCACTCATTAAGTTTCTAAAATGAATGCTTTTTACCCACAGTCCCAATACCCTCACATCAATGGCCTCTTTAATCTCAACAACTGACTTCTGTTCCCATCTTTCCACTAAAACTTACCTGGGCATAAAGTGCCTCTATAACCAAGCCCAGGAATACCTTGTCCATTGAGCTCAGACACTCAGTGCTCCCAACAATCAAGCTGGCCTGCCTCATAAATCTGGTTTCACACTTAAGGTGCAAAACTCAAGGCCTTTGCAAATTGGCATCAAGTTGCCTTTCTGGTTTTGATTCCCAGTGATCTAACATACAAGATCTATGTTCTACAGTTGGCCTGAATTTACTCATTCACTTATTCTAATATTTACTAAATGCCTGCCAAGTGCAGGAAGTCTGCTGAGACTTGAAGGACAACAGTGTGAAGGACAGACATGGTCCCTGTCCTGATTGAATTTACAGGACAGTGGAGGAGACAAAACATTGGAATAATAATGCTAATAAATAGATAATTACAATTTGTGATCCAAGTCATAAAGAAAAATAAGAGGCTATGAGAGTCTAACATGTGGGTAACCAAAAGACAGGTTCCTGAGAAATGAGATTTATGCTGTGATCAGAATGAGTAGACATTCACTAGGTTTGTGAGGAAGCAAGGGTAGTTCTAGGAATCAAAAGCAGGCAAATGTGTAGTACAGGGAGGAAAAACACAGTGAGAGACAAAGCTGGAGAAGTAGTCAAGCAGTTTAAGAATTTACACAGGCAAATTTTTCATTTTTGGAAATGGAAAAAAAAAAGCATAAATTGGAGAAGAACTTAGGAATCAGCCTAATTTTGGTCACGAGCTCCTTTGCAGAAACCCATCCTGATCTAATATGCTCTAAATCTAAATGTTGAATCTTATGTTAGTTTCCAAGTTAATGTATTTCCAATGTTAAATAACCTGTGATACATATAGAAATCTCTGCACAGTAGCTACACTATCCTCATGAAATACAACTTTCCCCCCTTCTGCTTCTCTGCTCTTTTCTTTTAAAAAATAGCATTTCTTTCTTTTCCTGCAGTTCAAGGGATAGAACTCAGGGTCTCACACATGCTAGGTAAGAACTTTATCACTGAAGTACACCCCCAGCCCCCAAATGTCATTTCTTTCTATTGACTGTGCATTGTTTAGGTGGAGACAGACTATAAATAGGCTTTGGAAAAGTTATATTCCACACTCCTTCTTCACTATGCTCACTGCTGTCAAATGTATCATTAATAATACCACTGTTAAGTAAGAAGTTTGGAAAATTTATCTGGCTCTGATATTTGTTCAACCAAATGGCTAAATAGGTCTAAAATATGAATTATTCGAACTACTGAAAGTTGCATAGATAATCCAAGACACTAGAAAATCAAAAAACCTTTCTATTTACCTTTGGAACATAGGTGCTTTTTCCTCCTGCACCTTTTGCCTAAACTAATATTAAAATGAATTTACTTTCCTAAAGCACATACTGGTTGGGCAGCAGCAAGACATTCTCTATGTTACTTGGCAAGGAAAAAAAAACAGGCTTAGATTAAAATTTGGCTATCGTGTAGATAATCTGAATTAAAGAATTCCTTTTTCCAACCACCAGACTTCTGGTGACCCCCTGGGTTGAAAAATTCCATTTGTAATAAGATCTGCTTGCTTGGGTGAATCCTATATTCACTCTAAAATACGATATGTGGTGTAATTTTTTTCTCCTAAGACTGTTGATTGCTTGAAGAGGAAGAAAAACAGACAGGAATGCTACCAATTAGAAAAAATGAACTTGAAAATATTATTTCAGAATGTCTGTTATTACATATAAATGTATATTATTTTTGTTCTAACAGAAATAGAGCATACTTACATTTAGTATCCAATTAAAATTCAGAACTTAGGAAAACTTTAAGTAGACATTTGTATAAACTGAAATCTAGTTTCTCTTGTAATTAATCTGGCAGGTTAACACATGGTAATAAAGCAGACTACATGTCACAAATCACCCCATTATTACAACCCTATAAAGCAAGACTTATGTTCGTGTGTGTGTGTGTGTGTGTGTGTGTGTGTGTCTGCATGTTGGTCCTGGGGCTATAACTCAGGGCCTAGACTGTGTCTCTGAGCTTTTGTACCCAAGACTAGCACCCTACCAGTTCAGCCACAGCTCCATTTTTTGGCTTTTTGCTTTTTGGTAGTTAATTAGAGATAAAAGTCTTATGGACTTTCCTTCACGAGGCTGGTTTTAAACCATGATCCTCAGATCTCAGCCTCCTGAGTAGCTAGGATTACAGGCATGAGTCACCAGCACACAACTAAAATTTATGCATATTTTTAATCCACAAAGAGATTACCATAGTTTTCACAGTGATCACTACTAAAACATCTCAAAACAACAAACTCTGGTCCAATTTGACTTTTTTTTTTTTTGCTTAAGCTCTGATAGAGGTGCTAATGAGCCATACCAAGACCTAGACAATTCACACCAGACATGAGTACCTGAATCAAAAGTGAACTACTTCATTCAAGCCAAGGAAGCACTAATGAAACCTCACAATTAAAAGTACTATGACTGGGCTGGGAAGGTGGCTCAGTGGTAGAGCACTTGTCTTGCATGCATGAGGCCCTGGGTTCGATTCCTCAGCACACATAAGCAAAAAGAAAAAAGCCGGAAGTGGCGCTGTGGCTCAAGTGGTAGAGCGCTAGCCTTGAGCTGAAGAGCTGAGGGACAGCGCCCAGGCCCAGAGTTCAGGCCCCATGACCAACCAAAAAAAAAAAATAAATAATAAATAAAAGTGCTATGACTGAAAACAGTATCCTCAGTTTAGGAAAATCAAAGGTGAAAGTATAAGCTAGCATTTAAACATTCTAAGGATAAAGCAACAACAAAACTCAGACATCCAGTATGACTCATGCTACAACCGCATCTGGCTGAGCCATGTTTTACCTTGTTCACTGAATAAGCTGGGTTGTATCAGATTAAGACCAGGCAGGCAAATGCACTATAAACTAGCCACAGTCCTATTAAATCCAGGGCAGATTTTAGTATCAGGTACATCTGTGGGGCATCTCCACACCCCTCATTAAGGGCTGAACTGATACATGAGGCTCTCCATTTCTACTACCTTGCCTAAGCATTATCTTCTCAAATAACCTCTAATGTTGATTTATTTTGCAATATTTGGTATTGAACCCCAAAGCTCTGACCACAAGAGACAAGAAAACTCATGGGAGAAAATTTCCTTTTATGTAGAACAAACTTATCACTTAACCTTTTATTTGATGTATTATAATGCAGATATATACAATTCTATTCCCAGTAGAATGAGGAACAGAGTAAGAGTTCCTTGATATGGAAAAAGAATCAAAGTACCACACAAGGTGCACTTCTGAGTTATGCTCAAACTTTTGAAGTTTACAAGGACAAAATGCAAAGACATATTTCCGGTATTATAGTTCTTCCTCAGATCTAATTGGCAATCATCTCAGATTTTTAATTTAGTAAAAGAAAATGAAAATAAGAATTATGACCACTGGCAAACTCCAAGTGGATCCATATTCATATTTCAAGTTTAGTTTTTTCTTCAGAGATGTCAGATTTTCAAGATTATTATCTAGTACATAAACGTTAACGGTTGTAAAACCTATCCTTTTCTTTGTGATGTGGGGCAGGGAATAAATATAAAGATTAGAATGATGAAATAACTACTACTAATGACTGGATCCTTTATCTGCTCTCTAAAAGGTAGCATAAAAATGGTTTCCTTACTTTTGTTAACAAGTACATTGCCATCTTAGCAATAGAAGCCAAACACAGCCAGTTCCTATCTCTGTCCCATTTTGATTTTGATAAATGAAACTGCACTTGAGAAGAAAAATTTCTGCACTAAAAGACTAACTTGTACTTCAAATCTCTTCACTATAGACATATCACCATCCTAGTATAAAAGGTACCCAAAAAGTCTTTGTATAATTTTAAGCTTTAATAACCTCAGAAGAACTGATCCTACAAACCAACTAAAAACATTATTTAAAAGTTTACTTCACTAGCCGGGCGCCGGTGGCTCATGCCTGTAATCCTAGCTACTCAGGAGGCTGAGATCTGAAGATCGCAGTTCAAAGCCATCCCAGGCAGTAAAGTCCATGAGACTCTTTTTTTTTAATTTTTATTTTTTTTATTGTGAACATACTGTACAGAGGGGTTACAATTACATGGGCAAGATAATGAGTACATTTCTTATCAAGCATTGTGGCCTCCTCCTTTGTTTACCCTTCACATCCCTTCCCAGCCTCCCCCCCACACCCTCCATGAGACTCTTATCTCCAATAAACCACTAGAAAACTG